TGGATTACATGGACCTTGTGACACTCTTCGTATCTGTTCATAACAGTAATTCTGAGCTGTAGGTTTTGTAACATGCCTCTGGTCTTGCATGTAACTTAAAGCTTTGCATAAACGATCTCTTAGCATCGAGACTCTTTGATCTTGACTATTCCCAAGGTAATTTAAGGCAGCCTCTAGATCGCCTTCTGCCGCCAACATCTCAGCATATTGAGACAGCACTGCAGCAATTTTGTCTTCTAGTTGAACTGCCTCAATACATTGAAGTTCCAAAGCTTTCTGCATTATTACCACCAGTTCCACCACGTCTTGAATATCACCATCGGACACTTCAATTAGTTTATTCAAATTACCGGAACAAATGTAACAAATTTGTGCTTGCTTTTTAAGAACGGGATTTTCGCATGACACCAAACGGTCACCAAGCATATCTATTATACAGAAACACGATTCATATGAATATTTGAGAACAGTAGTGATTATAATAAATTATTTCTTTAATCTACTTACCGCACAAGATAGATCGTTTCTGTATAGTGGAATGTGTAAATATACCAATTAATGCTTCCTTCCAACATTTTATATTACTGTTCTTAACAACCTCTTCCCAATTTTTATTAACTAATGAATTGATGAGACAATTTAATGCACTAGAGTGCTCTAAAAAGTACTTATATTGGGTACGTTCTAGTAGTTCGGGACCAGCGGCCGTCGAAAGAATTATAGCGTCGGCGTATCTTTTACTAGCAAAGCATAAAGATACAGCAGCTTCAATATTTCCCAAGAGGATGGCTTGAGTGATAAGACCATCTTCATCTAAAAATGACAATGTAAACGTAAATTGTTTATAAATTTGTTTTACTGCATCATTGATACAGTATTGACATCATTAATGTATAATTACCATCAGAAGTATTTATGATATAATTACTATCTGCAGGTTTATTTAAAGATATTTTTTTGTTTTGCTCTTGTGCAATAACATCAAATACAGTACTGCCGGTCATAACATTTCCATTTATTACCTAAATCAAATTTAAAAAATTTATAATTATAGTTAAAACAATCTCTAGAAAAAATATATAAATAT